GGGGCTGTGCTTCCGCGTACAGCCACAGTGGTTTCTTGGAAGGCCACTTGGATGATCCTGGGCTTATTAGCTGCTAGGCAGAGGAAGAGGGAGGTGGCCCCGAGTATGCTTTTCAGTTGTGTGAGATTGATCTCCGTTTTATTTGGACCGAGGTGCATGGTGGCTGAGTGTGAGCTATGGAGGTAGACTTTCAGGGTACCATGGAGGCTGCCCACCCACCAGCTTCGTGGTCTTGGGCAAGCTGCATGACCTGATGAATCATGTATTTTGTACATGAAGTGCCCCCTACTTAAAAAATCTGTGCTGTTTTTTTCTGGGCTTTATTACCTACCTCATCTCTTTGTTTTTCTTGTGTTTTATCTTAGCACTGGGGGACCTCAGTTCAGCTGGCATGTTAGATAAAACTTGTTTGGGGAACAGGATTCCAATTAGTAGCCTAGCGAAAAGTCCCAGTGTCGGCTTCCATTCGGTCCGTATTCTTGGACGGCAGCCTTCCAACTACTGTGTCAGGGATATAGAGAAAGAGTCATTTCATGTTGAATCGAAGCAGTCGCCCTACTTTCCAGCAGTGCAGCTGCCCTGAAGCGGCAGTGCTCCGTATGTTCTGTGCTTCAGGTCATGGAGTCGTCAGTGTGGAATAAGATGGAAGACGTGAAGCAGCGCGTAACCGGAGACGCCAGCAGCCGCGCACTGGGCGGGAGCCAGGCTGAGCTGAGGGAGGATCTGGACCAAGCCAAGACCCAGATCGGGATGACCGAGTCCCTCTTGAAAGCGCTGTCTCCTTCGGACAGCTTGGAGATCTTCACCAAACTCGAGGTGCTGTTCTCCAGCCCTTTTGTAGTCAAAGTTCTGGAGCATAAACCTCAGTGAGCTAGTTGGTGTATTTTCAGATGTTCACCTTTGAGTTGCCTCATGCAGAGTGATTTTCAATATTAAATTGCATTGTATGATGCATTTACTAGGAAAGAGAAAGCAAGTCCAGTTGAAAATCTAGACCTCTACACAATGATAGCCTACGAGCTTTGTGTGAATTGAGCCCATTTTAAGACTTACTGGGGCTTGGGAAGGGACACAGCCAGCCCTCGCAAAGCCCTAGGTCCCTTCCCAAGCACTATGTCTCCCCCAAAAAACACCCTCAAAACTGACGGTAGTCGTTTGTTTATATCTGCAGGAGATACAGCAGCAAATTCTACAGCAGAAGCACAGCATGATAATACTTGAAAATCAAATAGGTTGTCTCACTCCTGAACTCTCAGATTTGAAGAAGCAGTATGAAAGCGTTAGTGATTTATTTAATACTAAAAAGAGTGTTTTGCAAGATCACTTTTCGGCATTACTGAATGGTGAGTGCGATGCCTCTGTCACCTCACTGCTGGGCGTCCTGGTAAGGTTGGGCGCCACGAACACAGCTCACCCCAGCCTGACCGGCACGTGGCCCAGCACACTGTGCATCAAGGGGCAGCACATAAATCCGTTTTGGTAAAATGCATACTCCTTCATGCCTGGCCCCAGGGACGTCTGTCTATGGCAAGCCCCCACATCCTCATGGCATGAAAGTCTGTTGCCGTGGCATGTTCTGCCCCTGGAACTCAGTGGGCTCTGGGACATGCAAGCACCGCTGTCCTCACGAGTGTCTTTGGTGTCCTGCATGCTGGGGAGGGAGATTTGGTGTAGGAAGCCCACTGACTCCAGATGACTTTCTAGGCTTCATTACCACTTAGAGTCAGGCTTCAGAAGAGCCCTGGTGTACAGGACGGCGTGAGAGGCAGATCCCAGTGTCCCTCTCTAAGAGGAGCAAGGCTTTGGAGTGTTGCCTGAAGACACAGAGCTTTTTGGTTTTCCTCTCCTGCAGATCAATGCAAGAACTTTGACGACTGGTTCAGCAATGTGGAAATGAACCTTAAGGAATGTTTTGAATCATCAGAAACAAAAAAGGGTGTGCAACAAAAGCTGCAGAAACTTTCTGTAAGATGTTATTTTTGACTTTTTATTTTATTTTAATATGTATGTGGTGCAGGGTCTCACTCTGCAGCTTGGACTCATACTGATCCTCCTGTCTCAGCGTCTCCAGTGCTGGGGTTACAGGCTTGCACCACCATGCCTGGACTCTGTGGCTGGTTCAGCGTGCCAGCAGGTGGGGCATGTGGTGCTGGGATTGAACCCTGGTCCCTGCGCTTGCCTAAGCAGGCTCTTAGTCCACTGAGCTATCTCGCTGACCCTAAGGTGTGTATTTTAATAGAAAATATCAAAACAAACATTGGCAGCATAGAGCTGTACTTGAGTCAAAAGGATAATAATTTTTCTGACTTTATTATGTAAGAGATAATAGTCCCAGTAAACTGTCTTTTATTCCCCCCCAATTATCTTGAAACTATCTTTGCTGGGTAAGTGTGAAGGTGCATAAACAAAGCCTGCTTTCATACTTGTTCTGAGTTTTTTTTTTAGTGAATTCAGTTATGTTAAAATTATATTTGATAGAAATTCGTCTTCGTCTAAGTTGGACTCTCCCTCCCTCCCCCGCCCCTGCCCTTCCGCTCCCCTCCTCTCTCCTTCCCTTCCTCTTCCTCTTCCCCTTCCCTCTCCCTCCTTCTTTCCCTCCCTCCTTCACTTTTCTTCCTTTTGTGAGACAGGGTCTTGGTATGTAATTCAAGTCAGCCTTGAACTCAGCAGTCCTCCTGCCTCAGTCCCCTGAATGTTAGAATTATATAAGCGTGCATCACCACACCTCCCCAATTTGGATTTTAAAATCAGTTTACTTTCCTGGAAAAGATCTCCTGACTTCTTACAAGCGTTTTCCTAGTCCTGTATCTTTTAAAAACTGTCAGTGCAATTTAATAAATTGGTGGGCAGAGTGCCAGAAGTAAAAGGCAAGCTCGTGGCAGTGGGTGCGACCTTGGGCGCCCTTTCCTCGCGGGCACTGAAGGGGGGGTTCCCTAGCGCCGTGATGCGTCTGCGTACTCCTTTGTGCGCTCACTGCCCAAGCTGGCCTTGAGCTCCTGGGCTTCAGTAAACCCCCCCACCTCAGCCTCGGACAGTTGAGACCTCGGGTGCCCCCCAGCTTTGTTCTGATGCGAAGTCTCCTTTTAAGCCTATTGCTGGTGCTCAGTGACGGGTTAGTTCACTGTTCAGCGGAGGCGTTCCTTATCCAAATTGGCCTTCCTTCTGCTTTTAAAAGCTGCCTCTTCCACCACCTCAGCACTTGATACCCAAACCTGGAAAGATTAGAGGGGAAAGGCCTGGTTTGGGCAAATTTAAATGAAGACTGTTTAGTTTCATATATTAACTTGCCAAAAAGGAGCACGTACTTAGTTGTGCAGAGCCAGGATAGGAAACGGTGGCTTTCTATTTCGCTCCTGCAGACCTTCGTGGCATCACTGCATTATGTTGCTTGATATTCTCAGAAATTTCCATGCCAGAGCAAATCTGCACCCATTCGGGCGCTAGTGCAAATCGTGCGCCTTGAGTCAACCACACCTTCACAGTCCCTCTGAGCAGGGTGCCCGGACCAGCTTCTGAGCAGGGCCGCGTACTAGGTTGGGAAGCACAGGGGTAGCGGACACTCTGCTGAGACTCTCCGGTAGACCAGAATTCTCCTCCTGTCTGTCCGAAGGAGTTCTTGAGTCTTGAAGGAAGAAGTGGGAAAATCCAGCAGGTGGAGACGGTGCTGCAGCACGTGAGGAAGCACCTGCCCAAAGCACGCGTGAAGGAACTCAGCAGCTGGCTGAGGAGGCAGGAGCTTGCGTTAGAGAAGACGGAGTCCGCGTGCCGGGCCCGTGCGCAGGAGCTGGAGCGCCACCTGCAGCAGCTGCGGAGGTAGGAGCCAGAGCCGGGCCTCTGTGACGTTTTCTAGGGACGGTTGGCAATGATTTCTAGCTTCTTCCTCTGGGCAGTGTTCACTGAGCTATACCATATGTGCAGTTTTCACCAGTAAGATGGATAATCGTTGCTTGTAATCTGTGGTTCTAAGAACAGCCACATTTGTACATGCACGGATGCTTAAAGCACCTCGTGGGAAGTTCGTTGTACGTGCCTCTGCCGAGGCCTGTCCTCGGCATACTCTAACCGTAATGTAAATGCAGTGTGAGTCATCGTTAGGCTGGATGGTTCAGGGCGGAAACTGAGTATGTGTTCAGTAAAGGCAGTGTTTTCCAATTATTTTTGGTCTGTGCCCCCTGGCTTGAATATCAATATGGGACTCATGGGTACAGAGGATCGAATATAATTTTTTTTTCAGTGCTGGGTATTAAACCCAGGGCCCCTTGCATACTGGGCAAGCACTCTACCTCTGAACTATACCACAAACCCCTGACTATATCTATCTATATCTATATCTATCTGTATCTATCTATATCTAGATATATATATAGAGAGAGACAGAGAGACAGAGACAGAGACAGAGACAGACAGACAGACTCAGTCTCAAAAATAAATAAATAGCCCTATTAAGAGGACTGAGAAGTGAGCCAAGAGTGGAGTCATAGAGATGACCAACATGTGAGGAATGGAAATGACATGAGGGTAAAACAACGCAAAGGAGAAGAGGAGCGAGTAAACTTAAGAGAGCAACTATCTTAGAAGCTAAAGGCAGCAAGTATTTTTCAAA